CAGTGTTATTAAGCTAATGTGCAGTGTCACAAAATAACTATGCACTGGTGCTACTGCACAGTAACTAATTAATGAATGTGTAGACATGCTGTCTGAGTGGAAATTCAGAGGCTGGAACCAGAAGATTGAGATGAAACCTGTGTACATATACAGGTTCACATTGCTCAACAAAGAGAAGGCCCATGGATCCTCTTGGGCTGCTCTATTCCCAAAACATGTACTGCTTCTTTTCTTTATTTCCTTCTAGGCTCCAAGGAGGGGAAAAAAGGTATAATTCAAAAATTATAATTCAAATAGCTAAATCTTGCAGTCTTGGAATGCATAAGACCATGGTTTTCAATAACACATTCACCACTTATGCCATCCTTTATCTCCTGGTATTAATAGGTAGCCAAGAAACTGGGGGAGTACACTGAAGATTTCTGCAACAATAATTAGGTGCAAAAGTGTTTATCCCCAAAATGTCTTGATTGCTCAGATATGATGGCAATGAGGGACACATTAGAACCTACAGATAGATTTGTTTCTTAAGTTACAAATTCCACCTTTTTTCATCAGACTTTTTTGAAGCCAGAATGAACAGTTGGCTTGCTTCTGGTCTTGTACATCTTTGTAAAAAAGAAGAAATCATGGGTAGAGCCATTGGTGTGGTTGGCACTGCTCTGACAGTAAAGACAGTGTTCACTACATCCTTAGCCAGACAGCACTGCACCTGTAAAGATGGAGGATGAGTTCTTGTTAATACTTCAATGATAAAGAAAGAAATCTCCTCTGCACTTGGAAAGTCTGCTGTGTAATTCAGTTAATGATGAGCTTGTTTTGACAGAACTAACTGTAACTAATTCTAAGCCTTAATGTGAACTTGGGCAGGCCAGCAAAAAGGTGTCATATATTGAAATAACTTGCTTCTCTTGCAGTGTAGGTACAAGCCATAATGTACAGCACGTCCACACTAGGAGGATTGTAACACTATCAGTATGGTTAAAGCAATGCATGGTCTATGTGTAGAGAAGCCATTCCCATGCTCATGCCTGCTTTTCAACTTCCTAGTGGGATAAAGCTGATGCTGTCATGCACTTAAAATATCTGGAAGTTGCAGAGTGCTTTAGATTGTCTGGCATACTTGTTCTGGCAATGAACAACCCAGGTTTCTTTAATGAATAAATGGTATTAATTTGTGAATGACAAGGGTCTTTGGGTAAATTCGATATCTTTCATTAGACCAACTCAAATAGTTGTAAAAATTCTTCTTAGCAAGCTTTCAGGAACCAACTCCTTTTGTCAGGCTGAGGAAGTGCCTGCAGATGGTCTGTGTTCTTCCTGGGTGGGGTGGTAAAGCAGCCAGAGGCCAGTAAGTATGCAAGAAAGCCAGTCAGCTAAGATGTAAATTGAGGTGGTCAGCAGGTGAGAGTAGGAAGGGGAATGAAAGTAGCTGTAGTCAAAGGATGAGAGAGAGGAGGGTGGGGGGAAGGGAATTAAAATAGTTGGTAAAAAGTAGTGGGGTTTATCTGGGGAGTTGGAGGTTAGGCAGGTTGTGTGTCATAAATCCAGTGTCTATATTTAGTCCATAACTTTTTGTATCCAGTAGGTTGATGAAATGAAGTTCATGGGCTCATCTGTGAAAGCTATTTTGTAAATTCCCTCTGAGGACTAGAACTGAGAGATTGGAGAGAGAGTGATTTTCTTGTGAGAAGTGTGCCCCCACAGGTCATAGGGTATTTTTGTCTTTTGGTAGATTTACGGTGTGCATTCATTCTGGTGCACAGTTGTTGTTTTGGTTTCTCCTACATATTTTCCATCAGGGTATTTGGTGCACTGGATGAAGTGTATATTACCTTTCTGGAGGTGCAATTTGTGAATTTATTCTTTTTCTGGCTTCCATATTAGGTGGTGTTAGAGAAACACTGTCAATTAACTCCATTTAGATTGCATTATTAATAGGAGAGAGGCTGCCAGAGCTGGAGCTACTGCAAGGAAAGGGCAGTACTGTTGGGGGATCAGTACTGGTTCCTTACCCCTCAGAAAGATGTATGTTCTGATAATCTCTTTTTATCTCCTTACTTTCTCTACTTTATGGCAGCTTGGATAAGGAACCAGGCTCTGAACAGGTTGGGAAGTTTTCTTGATGTCAAAGAGATTTTTCCTCCTTCCAAAATGTCCCCCATTTTTCTCCATTCTCTTAACAGCTTCACACCAAAGCACTGCTTGGCTCTAACACAGCTGTTCTGCAAAGCACTTGTGCTTGCAGTCCGGTTTTCTTAATGGAGTGATTTTTATCCAGCCTTGAAAAGAACTTACATTTGGGCAAATACCAGGTGGGGGAATTTTCCTTGTGACAGACAAAGGCTGGAGTGTATGGTAATTGGAGATCATTACAGGCATTTTTTAAAGCTAAATATAGAGATGACTCTAAACGCAAGTCTTATGTGGTGGGCAAAAGGAGGCAAACTCCCCAGTTTCCATGGTCCAAGCAGAATGAAGTAGAAAGCAGTAAGCCAGGGGCCTAAATTATGTTGCACCTTTTAAAAGTCAAGACCATAAGATAGTTTCCACAGGGCTGTCTTAATATTTTCTAACTGATACTGGACCTAATTCACCAGAGTTTACTGATATTTCCTGCAGAACTTCGGTAGTGACTGACTACCTAATTTTTTTTAACCCTGAATTCTGACTCAAGAAAATGTTGGGACATCAAGAATAGTCTCTTTCCAATATGGCCAACTACAGTCATGTTCAAGGATTATGTGGTGGGCCCCACTGTCTTAAAAATCCTGAGATTTAAAAACAAATGGTAGGTTATCTAATTTGCCCTTGGGGTCTGAACGTTGTATGGGTCACATTTCAAGGTCTTATTATCAGCCAGAAGAGCTAGACATGTCATTAAAAAAGAGGAAATTTTAGCTTCTCATATATTCACATGACTCCAGGAGCTGAACACCAGGTTCTGTAGACTTCAGAGAGGTGGCACTACAGCAATCCATATTCTCAAGGTAGAAAACTCTTTAAATTGTGTTTGCAAAGTGCATATCACAATGGTCTTAGGTGACTTCTCTTTTTATTTCCTCAAAACACTACAAAATTTGCAAGCACTAAGCAAACTGTGAAAATGCTTCCAGTTCTACAGATCTGCATAAAAGCATAGTCTTGAATTATTATTTACTCTCACAGCAATGTTTCTGGGTCATCTGCACCGTTAGTGAAACTGTACGGTCAATCGATGATGATAATAATTAATGGGATTAACCTATTTGTTAATTGCTCGCTCAGATTTACTTAGCAGCCACTGACAACCAGGGAATTAGCTCAACAACAACTTACACTTATTAAGTTTGAACATATTACGTTGTAGGGTACAAAATTCTCACTCTGGTTGTCAGCCAGGAAATCATTTCAGCAAATACTTTTTTATAAAGGAGAGGCAGATGGCTGCAGCCTTAGTAAATATTTATTAAACAAAAGGGCACAGAGGATAATTTTAGTGCTGACAATTTGTTCTGGACTGTACAATGCACAGGATATAAAGGCAGTCCCTGGTCTGAAGTGATCGTAATTTGAGAGCAAGACATGCAGATGACAGACTGCAGGGAGAAATCCAGCCTGAGAACAAATTTCTAAAACTATACAGCAGTGAGGTGTATTCATTGCATTAATCATCTCATTCATGCATTTCTTTATAAAGCCTGAACTCTGTAAAGCAATATCAAATGTAACTTTCTTACAGAATATAAGCTAGAAAATGTAAACTTACCTTGCATAGTAAATCCGTGATACTAATACTATATGTGCGAACACCTGAAGCTTCATTTGCACTAGAGAATAAACATTCTTTCAGAGCTGTTTGTTTATTCACTGCCACCCTCATCAGCCTTGTTTTTCTATGCTCTTAAAACGTCACTCTCACTAAAAAGCAGCTTCCCATTACTGAAATAGCTTCCGAGGCTCTCCAAGTTTTCAGCTGATACTAAATTATTCTGGGTAGTCATGTCCCAAGGTGACTGAGGAGCTGCAGAAAGATCTAACCAAGCTAAGTGGGCAAAAAAATGGCAGATAAACTTCAGTGTTGACCAGTGCCAGGTAATGCACCTGGGGAAAAATAACCATGACTATATGTACACAATGCTGGGCTCTGAGCTATTGGTTTCAATTTAGGAAAGAAACTGTGGAGTCATTGTAGATTGTTCTCCAAAAACATCAGGTCAATGTGCAGCAGCAACCAAAAAAGCCAAGAAAAAGTTGGGCATCACTGAGAAGGGAATTGAAAGCAAAACAAAGAATATCCTCGTGCCATTACACAAATCCAGGGGGGTACCTACATCTTGAATACTGTGTGCAGGTGTGGTCCCCACATCTCAAAGAGGATGTAGTAAAATTTGAAAAGGTAACCAAAATGATCAGGGATTTAAAGCAGTTTCCATACCAGGAGAGACTAAAAAGGCTAAGACTCTGCAGTTTGGCAAGGAGAAGGCTGAGGGGGGAGTATGATAGAGGTCTATAAAATCATGAAAGGTTAGACCAAATTAACAAGAAACTGCTGTTCCCCAAGTTTTAGAATACTAGAACTAGGGGGCACCCACAGAAATTAGTAAGTGGTAGGTTTAAAAGTCACAAGAGAAAGTACTTTTTTAGGCAATGTATAGTTAACTTGTGGAATTCATTGTTACAGGTGGTGGCGGCCAGGTTCGAAAAAGGACTGGATAAATTAATGGATGATAGATCTATTAATGGCTATTGAACAGAATGTTGGAGATGTTTCCTCTGGCATCTCCAAACCAATAAATGATGGGTGCTAGGGAGGGTATTGACTAGGGGATAGATCACTCTAGAGATATCCAGTTGAGTGCTCTCCCTCTATAGCATCCACTTCTGCCATTATCAGAGACAGGACCCTGGGCAAGATGGACCATTGGTCTGACCCAGTATGGCACTGCTTATGTTCTTAAATATTATGTGAGGTTTTCTATCCCAAGACATCAGGATTGAAACAGACTGTTCTGTTACAGCACTGAAAGCTCTGAGTAACTTGTCTAATGACTGGACATACCAGGACTGCGCCAAAAAAGGTACTTACCCACCTTTCCCCTTGTACTATTCTAGCCATGCCTTGTCTCTGAGACAGTTATGGCACTGGTCATCACTGCCATGCTGTTACTAAGCTGAGGCAACCAGGGCAGCTGGGAAAGAAAAAAACTGGCTCCTGCCACAGCCCAACCCCTAGCCCTATTGTTACACCTCTCATAGTGGCCGTGGGAATGATCTGACCTCACCACAGTAGGAATGAGCTTGGAGGGGAGGAGGGAATGTAGCAGTCCACACACTGTTCAGAAGAGCAGGTGACTAGTACAATATTTGCATTAATCCAAAGCCCTACAGCAGTAGTGCCCAACCTTCTGGCCCTGCCAGCTGGATGAGTGGTGTGGGGTGGATCTGTGGGCTCCAGATCTAGTCTATGAGCCCGATATGGGGCTGGGGCCTGATCCTTCACATGTTGGATTGACTCCTACTGCACTGCTCCATCCCATTCTCCACATGCCAGCTCAGGCTCCACCACCTGAACCCTGGCCCTGTGCACATCAGATAGGTCCCTACCTTTCTGCCCCCCCCCCCCC